GAACACACTGGTGCTCCCTGACAGGAGGACACCTGGAGAGGTAAGACACATTGATATTATTAACCGCAGTACAACTACCTGTCCTTTCATTTTAAGAAGCAATGCATAATTACATGGCCATCTGAATACAAACATTTAAACAGGTTAATATCAAATTGATCACATTGGATCATTTAGTACACTAACACTTGTATTTAGAGAAATGGACTCTGCTTTCAAGGGTTCCCCTTCTATCAACTGTATAAACTGTGACTGAAATGCATTTTAATCCCGTAATTCCTAACTTTCTATAGTGCAATTTGTTTCATAGAGTTTACTCGCCTTCATGTCGGCCATTAATGCGGAATCCATAGTGATATTTTAGAGCCATTAACAAACTCTAAGGTTAAATGTCTTTTAGAACAAATATATCCCGGTGTTTCAAAAGTAGGATCTCCATTTCCTCAGGTAGCATCAAGTTTTATTTTTTCAGACACTGTCTTCTTATTGTTGGGTAGTTGATGTTTTCAATAACGCTAAAGTATTATACTCCAACACCTCATATTGCAGAATGAACTGTCGCTGTCCGTGGTGATGAAGTGTTTTTTTTTGTTTTTTTTATATAAATATACAAATGCTATACTTTCTCTGTAAATTACACAGATATAAGAATTTAGTCGTCTAGACTATTCCAAATGATCGCTTTTTTCAGTAGAAAGTCATTGTGACTGAAGGCCATTTCTTAAGGAAATTGACTGTTGCAAATCTGTCCTCATGCATTAACAGGCTGTTTGTCACCTTGTTTTCGTTGTCGTATCTTTTGTCGTCACCACATTTTTTGATCAAAGAGTGTTGCAATAACGTTTTGGATCGGATGGTGTCGGTATAATAGCAAAGTATGTGCCTCGAGCTTTTCGTCATCACCGTTAGGACCAATCCTGTATTTTGGCATTACGTGTAAAAGGCTTGAACACAAGACTAGCTCTGTTCAATTCCAAGAACTGTATTGGCGACGAAACGCCCTTTGCAAATGAATAAGGCTGATTATATTTCTTGAACATACAATTACAGATCCCGGAATTATTATTTTTCTCATGTACATTATGGAACAAAGCCGACGCCAGCCGTGGATCGTACGATGGAGATGCGTCGCCTACATGTTGGTTTTGGTAACGTTTTGGAGCGAAGCTTCGGCTCAGATCAAATATTCCATCTCCGAGGAGATGAAAGAAGGAAGTGTTGTTGGAAACGTTGCGAAAGACTTGGGAATTGATAAGGTTACGCTGAAAGATAGAGAATATCGTATTGTTGGCAGTTCAACGGAACCTCTTTTTCGTTTGAATAAGGACGACGGAATCCTGTATGTCAGTAGGAAAGTGGACAGGGAAGAGATCTGTGAACGAAGCAAAGCGTGTATAATCAACCTTAAAACCGTGCTAGAAAATCCTCTGGAAATCCATTATGTGGCTATAGAGGTGCTGGATGTAAACGACCACTCCCCCGTCTTTCCAGAGAAAGAGAAGCGACTGGAGATATTTGAATCGACATTACCGGGAGCACGATTCCAGATTCAACCTGCACGCGACCCCGATGGTGGTCAGTTTACTGTTCAGCAGTATACACTCAGCCACAATGATCACTTTCGTTTGGAAGTGAAGGAGAGGGGCGAAGACCGTAAGATGCCCTTTCTGATATTAAAGAAGCAGTTAGACAGAGAGGCTTTGAGAGAACACAAGCTTCTGCTCACAGCTATTGACGGTGGGAGGCCGGCGAGGTCTGGAACAATAGAAATACTCATTAAGGTGCTTGATGTTAATGACAATTCACCTGTTTTTACAAAAGATGTATATTCTGCTGTTCTATATGAAAACGCAGCACCTGGTACGTTAGTTATTCAGGTTAATGCGACCGATTTGGATGAGGGTGCAAACAGCGAAATTGTTTACTCATTTGGTGAAGAAGTAGATTTACATTTACAAAAACTATTTAACATCGACCCAACGACAGGAGATATTAAAGTGACCGGTTTGATTGATTTTGAAGAAAATGAAAGCTATGAAATTGATATCCAAGCTTCAGATCGGGGCATAGCCCCCTTTTCCGCAGACAAAACTGTGATAATAAAGGTAATCGACCTTAACGATAATCCCCCAGAGATTGAAATTACATCATTTTCCAAATCAGTTCCCGAAAATTCTAAAATTGGAACGACTGTAGCTTTAATCAGTGTGAACGATTTGGATTCAGGCCCCAATGGTCAGGTTTCCTGCTTTATACCTGAGGACGTTCCTTTCGCTATATCTCCATCCTTGCAAGATAATATGTACGCGATAGTGACCAAATCACGACTGAACAGAGAAGAAAAGTCTTTTTATGAACTTACAATTGTTGCAAAGGACACCGGTGAGCCATCGCTCTCATCTGAAAAGACATTGAGTGTTGTTGTATCAGACGTGAACGATAACAGACCACAGTTTTCACTGAGCCCCTATACGTTCTATATTACTGAAAACAATGACCTAGTAGCACCAGTATTTTCAGTTAGGGCATCTGACCTTGATGAGAGTGATAATGCACATATTTCATATCACATTCCGAGGGATCGCAGTGGGGATAATTTAGGTCTGTTTTTAAATATCAACACAGAAAATGGAGATATTTTGGCCCTTAAAAGTTTTGACTTTGAAACTCTGAAAACGTTCCAGTTCCAAGTTGTTGGCACAGATTCTGGAACTCCGTCACTAAGCAGCAACGTCA